TGTGTGTGTGTGTGTGTGTGTGTGTGTGTGTGTGTGTGTGTGTGTGTGTGTGTGACCAGCCAGTGTCCACCTGTTGGTCTCTTGAGTGATGCTGCTTAGAGAGAGAGTCAAAATCTTCCAAATGTACAATTGCAGAGGCAGTTGAGTTCACACCACTGAAGTTCTGATGCATCAGTTAGAATTCGGGGCTCTCTTAAAGCACAAGGCGTGGCTGCCAGAAGGACAGAAATGCGGGCGTTACTGTGGCTCCCTCTCCTCCCTTTCTCTTCCTCCTCCTCCTCCTTTCTCTTCCTCTCTCTCCATCTCTCCCTCCTCACTCTCTTCCTGTCCTTTTCTCCCTCTTGCTCACTCATTCTTTCTCTGTGTGTGTCTCCCCCCACCCCTCCAAGAAAAGTGCTTTAAATGAACAGCAAGGTCAATTTAGATGGGAGCTGATAAGTGGCCATTGCTGTTGCACTGAGTTTTTCTGCTGCCTAGAACCTGCTCATGTTGGGTTTCAGAGCAAGCGGCAGGATTGCAGGTTCCCCTGGCCCCAGAGCACCTGGTCCTTTCCTGTCGCTGCCCTTAACTTTGAGCAACCGGAATGCATTTCACTGCTAGGGAAGTGCTCTCTGAACCTCGGATTCTGCCCTGTGAAATGTCAATAATTATACTTATATTTACTTGCCTCATGGGACTTCTCCTTAATATTTATAGCTGCAAAATACTTTGCAGTCGTTTTTATTAATAGTTACCAGATGTGTCGTAAGGATTAATGAACTTATGATCTGAGATGTTTTGAGCTCCTGAAATAGGAGGCAACTGCCTGCACAGGGGATATGTAAGCACGCATTAAAATGCAAACAATACGCATTTGGAAACTTGAGCCATTATGTGTGAAGGACAAATGGCACAGTTAAGATTTCAGTGTGCTTTATAGATTTATTTGGTACCCTTAAAAAGGTTGCTGAATTCATCACATACCATTGCCAAATATAGCATGCTCAGTACCCCCAGCCCCTATCTGCATATGCATGAGCCTCCATGTGGGCACACACATATGCACACACACATCATCTTTGGCAAATACCCTTTTCCCTGTCATCTAGCTTCCTGGGCATCATCTTCTGTTTCCCCATTCTCTCCATATATCTATTGCCAAATTGTCTCCTTTATCTCTCTGAATTTCATTTCTAGATCATTTTCTCCTAAACCCGAACTCAGGCTCTTATCCCTCTGTGTAACAGTTAAAAGAACTTCTCTTTTGAAAATGTTTATTTGGTAGGGAGAGACACAGACCCTAAATGCGCACTGTAGTGAAACTAGGCGTTAGGAATGTGCTCTAGGTCTGCCATATGGGCGGCAGGGCCCCAAGTACTTGGGCCATCACCTGCCACCTTGCAGGGGTGTGAGTAGCAGAAAGCTGGACTTGGGCCTGTAGCTGACCTGGAACCCTGGCATTTCCCATACAGAATATGGATGTCCCAAGTGTCAGCTTCACTGCTACACGAAAGGCTGGCCCTGCAGCTTCTTAGTTGATCTTGCTCATGTTAGTATCTCCAGTGGCTCAGGACTGGCTTCTCAAAACATGGTTCTGTCATCATTTGGGGCATAAGCTGTGATGAGCTCACAGGGTCACCTCCATATGGCCCCAGCATCTCATCTCTGCCCAGCGCTGGTGAATCTAGAGGAGTCTGTTTTTGCTGAGTTCTGGTAGACATAGTAGCTTTTCCAGCGGCAGAGGGAACTGGTAATCCAGGTTGCCATGCTGCCGTTGTCATGTTCCTCAAGGCCAGCCTCATACCCAAGTCACCGCTGTGACAATTTTCCAGGCCCATTCTGTTGAGGATCACTTCCTCCCCTGAAGTCCTTTGCTTAGAGAGTTTGCATAGTGATACCTAGTGCACCCTTCCCTTTTGTAGTTACTGGCTTGCATGTTCCTCACCCAGAGCAGCTTGTCAGGAGGCCAGGAGCAAAGCCTGAGCCTGCCAACCTTTTGTGTTACCCACTGGCTACACTTGACACGGTACCTCATCTGTTAAGACCTGGTGAAATTCTGGCAGGGCAGAACCGGTACTGTAGTGTGCTCCCTAAAGTTACTCCCACCAGCATAGGCACCTGCCCAAGTTTTATAGTCACATCACATCATTAACAAAATTGTGCTTCTGCACTCTATTTTGAAGGGCACAAATAGGATCATTTTAAAATTTTAAAATGTATTTTTTTTAAAGATTTACTTACTTATATTACAAAGATATACAGTGAGGAGAGAAAGAGAGAGGAAGATCGTCCATCTGAATTCACTCCCCAAGTGGTCACAACAGAACTGAGCTAATATGAAGCCAGGAGCTAGGAGTTTCCTCCAGGTCTCCCAGGTGGGTGCAGGATCCCAAGGAGTTAGGCCAACATCTACTGCTTTCACAGGCCACAAGCAGGGAGCTGGATGGGAAGTGGAAGCTGCCGGAATATGAACCAGTGCCCATATGGGATCCTGGTGCGTGTAAGGTGAGGACTTTAACCACTAGGCTACTGCGCTGGGTCCTATTATTATTATTTTTTCAGATAAACTGGCACTCATATGGAATGTCGGCACTGGCACTGGTGGAGGCTTAGCCTATTGCACAATGGCACTGGCCCCAATACCTGCATTTTTAAGGATTTTGTTTATTTTTGTTGGAAAGGTTAATTTACAGAAAGCAGAGAGAGACCTTGTATCTGCAGATTCACTCCCCGAATGACTGCAGTGGTTGGAGCTGAGACATTGTGAAGCCAGGAGCCAGGAGCTTCTTCCAGGTCTCCCACATGGGTACTAGGTCCCAAGGCTTGGGGCCGTCCTTTACTGCTTTCCCAGGTCACAAGTGTGGAGCTCGATGGGAAGTGGAGCAGCTGGTACACAAATCATCATCCACATGGGATCTCAACACGAGCAAGGCGAGGACTTAGCCACTACTAGGCTATTGCACGGGGCCCCAAGTCACATTTTAGCATGTTTCATTTTATGCAGTTACCATTTCATTCTTGGAGAGTCTGTATCTATATTTTGAAGGGGTAAATTTCACCTCAGTGCAGTTACTCCCTTCTTGTTTTGAATAAGATCTGAGCAATATGAGTATTTTGAAGTTTGACCTTGACAAACCTTGACTTGCCTCTACCAAGAAACATACTTTGTGTGCCCTCCCAAGTCTGGGGGGAGCTTCAGATACAGGAAGGAAATGGAAGTGAAGCCAGCAGCCCCCCCGCACTCCAGGCTGGGCTGGGAGAGGGGAACTTGTTCTTAGTTCACAGGGCTGCCATCAGGCGGGTAGGAGAGGGGAGCGCTGAGGAGTGGTGGGGCCCAAGGGCTTCCTCTCTCCTGGCCAGGGAAGTGAGGTGTGAACTGGGAGCCCTTGCCGGTCAGGCCCTGTTCACACTCTGGCTTTGTCCTCTGTCTCGCACACCTTCCATCCTGGTCTGCCTGTTCCAGGGTCAAGTGTATGTGCCTTTCGTTGGTTCCTCTGCTCCCGCCATCTTTTGAAGTCTTTATTCCTTACAGTTATCTGCACAGTCACCTCCCTGTTCCTCTCTTTGCTTAAATCCTGTCACCATTCGCTTCTAGGATGGGCCTCTCAGTTTTCTTTCAGAAGTGGCTCCTGAGGCGTAAGTGGAGTCTACAACATTACACTTTGCTAAAAGTGAGGCACTCCATGCTTGTGGATTCAGATTAGCAGCCGGCTAAATGAACCTGTGTGTTCCAGGTGGGCTTGTCTCCCTTCTGGCAGGGGCGTGGGCTCCCTGGTGGAAGTGGGGACTTCAGCAGCCCATACTTAGTGGGCAGACTCCGATTGCCAAGTCCTGACCACATAGGGACGTCAGTGCCTCGCCGTGCATAGGGATCGGGCAACAGGGTTACTCAGGAACGGAATAAAGGAAATTGAAAGCTGTGGACTCTGCGAAGGCAGTTAAAATTCTGTGAGGGCAGCAGCCAGGCTTGGGGGAAGCCAGTCCTGCGCCTCCTCTGCCGGGATGAAGCTCTTTGGAGCTAGGCGTGCAGAGCAAGAGAGACCTAGTGTGGCCAGAGGTGGATGGGTGGTTCAGGGTGGAAAGTGGGGACTCTTGGTTTCTTGCAGACAGCCACATCTGCTTGTGTGCTTTTATGTCCCACTGCCATTTTTTAGCTTAGCAGTTACAAAATGACTTTTTGATCCCTTCTCTCCTTCTGTCTTTGCCTTATCATGGCTCTCATTATTTTTTGCTGCTTTTTAAAATATGTTCCTCGAATGATATGTCCATAAAGAAACAGAGTCCTTTCCCGCGCTGTTGCTTATACCCATTAATTCAGGCTCTTATCACCTCACACCTGCTCTGTTCCTGGAATCTCATTACTGACTCGCCTCCCTGGACTTGAAATGTTTCTCCCATCAATCTGCATCCCAGCACTAGATCAGTCTCTCCCATCGGCAGCTGTGTGCTTAGGGAGAGGTGGGGGAGCCCTCGTTATTAGTCCCTAATTAGATCACTTTCATACATCCGGCCCCCCAGCCTGCTGCCATGCTCTGTCCTGTGCTCTGGGTTTGGCCGCCACCAGATTGGCTTCCTTCCTGTTATCCTCCTGTGACTATGTGTTGTCATGGCTGCTTCCTGGCCATTAGGACTTCGTGTGGCCTCCTCATAGTACCTCAAGTCTTCCCAGACCTTGCCTGTTCTATCCATTCCACTTGTTCATGTGAAGTCTCATAGCACTTGTCTAAATGGCCTTGGTGGGGAGTGGGGTGTAAGCATTTGTGCACTGCTGTGTCCCGTGTGTGCTTGTCTCCCTGGTTGGGGGTAAGCCCTTGACTACTGTCTTACTACTCTGTACCGTGGATAGCCCCTAGCACATGCAGGCCCACGAAGCAGTCACGTGTTAGAGTGCCATAGCGCTGTGCAACGTAGCCCCTGCCGAAGGCTGCTGCCTGCTCAGTTTTCTGTCCAGTGAAAGCTGCCTTCGGTGGTCCCTGTTCCGCCCATTGCTCAGTCCCTCATTTGTGCCCTTGTCTTCTCAGCCCGTGCCCCGAATTATGGTGCAGCCTGCTTTCCCGGACATCTGGGCAGCCAGGCCAGAGCAGGTGAGTCAGCCGGGCCCCGTATCGAGTGGGTGGCCCTGACGCCAAAACTGTTTCCTCCACAGCCCAGGTTTTCTCTTCCAGCATTCCCATTTGGATAATTAACAACAATATAGGTCACTCTCCTCCCCCTTTGTATTTTCCTTGTTACACTTTTCTATTTTCAACCTGTTAATCATATGATTGCTAAACCTTTAGGTGCTTGACTGCTGATGTCGTCTGCTGCTTTAATAGCCCACTGCTAGGCAGCAGAGATTTCTATAAACAGAACAATCTCCTCCTTCTAAGTGTTTGCTTAATTCTCAGTTTTACATTTCATTCCGATTCATGATATCAGCGTGAAAAGACTAATGCTAAGCTGCGGAGAAAATAGCCTCTTATGATCTCCCACAGATCCGCAGCGCTCCTCATCTTCTCAATAGCAAATTTATTTTCCCCTAGTGTGCCTTCATTCTCTTAGGAAATGCTCTAGTTTCATGGGAAATTTTATTTATTAAATTTTATGTATTAAAACAATGGCACATCTCCCCCCTCCATAAATTGAGGCCTCTGTGACTTCCCTCCTGCTCAGAGGTGCTTTCACTAAGCTGGTGAGTGTGGGCTCCCCTGTAGTGCCTGGCCTCCATGGTGCTGTGGGTCATTTCCCGAAGCAGGGCGGAGCGTCGGCTGGGAGCTCTTCCAGCAGGGCCCTTGCAGCTGCCTGATTTCACCAAGGAGCCTGCTCTGCTAGCCCGGACCTTTTACACACATGCCTGGCTGGCCTGGCCTGTAACTTGGGGATGGCAGCCCGGGTGCATCTCAGGAAGAAGGTGCTGGGCCCGGCGGGTACTGGGCTGTGCGCTGCTGCAGACCTGACCCCTCCTCTGCCCTTTCACCACTGGGGAGCCTGGAATGTGAATCAGACACTAATCCTGCCCAGGCTGCCCCAGCGAGTCACACAAGCTGGCTGGTGTCCATGAATCTATGGCAGGCCTGCAAGGCCACCACTCCGGCCTCCCCTGACTCACTTTTCACAGCCGGTTCTGGTCCCACCTGTTAGGTGAGGATGGACTGGAAACCGTTTCAGGCCCACAGCCGCTGGTCTGAGCCTCCATTCTTGCCCTGTTATCTGTGCATCCTTCTCTGCATGGTTGGTGATATGAAAACTAAACTAGAAAAAGGATAAATAAAACATGTGCAAGTTGCACAAGAAAAATGATTGAAGGATTGCCTAATCTTTTAGAGTATTTATGCAGGTGACAGTTATTGATCTATTGGATTGAGTAAATTCTGCAGCCCCGAGATCCATCACAAAAATGGGCTGTTAATCTCAGGAGGGGCCGTTAATTTCATCCCCTGAAAGTCTGCCTTGTGGGAAGAAAAGGGCCTCTGGAAACAGGAATATAAATGACAATTCACAGGAAAATGCATGATTTATCAAAGTGATGTGTTAAGCCAAGTAACTGTAAGAGACTTATAGATCTCAGCTGTTTCCCAGTTCAAATAAATCCTGTATTTCAAATGGAAGATGACCACTCCTGTAATATAAATAACTTTTCCGTAAATATCGGAAAACATATTTCTTCTCAGAATACGGGCCCTCTCCGCCCCACCCATCTCTTGCCCCATTCCTGCTGCCTCTTTGTCCCCTTGCCTGTGACAGGCGAACAGAAGATAACGCCAGCTTCTACCGGCTTAAGTCACAGACAACCTTAGAAATGGCAGGATCTGGACAAGTGGCTGTTGTCTTCCCCCTTGAGATGTGGGCTCTGTGTGTGTCTGTGTCCTCTGCCTTGGTGACCCAGACAGGGTGACGTGAGAGGGAGCGGCCAGCCGGGGCGCTGCTTGCCTCTCCTCCCTCAGCGGCTTGTCCTGCTTGTCTGTCACGGCCAGTGACGCCCTGACCCCTGGCCTGGGGCCTGTCTTCCTCAGGAGCCACACCAGCTGCCCCCTTCCTTGCCCGCCTGCCAGAAGTGCCCTTCCCGGCCCAGGCCTCCAGGTTCCTGGTGGTGCCTGAGCTGTGGAAGCATTTCAGAGCCTCCGATGACATCATCCCTTCGATTTTGCTGAAGAAAAGTGCACTTCTGGCCTCTCGAGCCATTCTCAGTCTCCTTGTGAGGTTGGAGGCAGGCGGGTGATGTAGCTCCAAGGGAGCCAAGTTGGCAGGCTTGGGTGGGTTCTAGCTGCAGGATGGGGGCAACAGGGTGTGCCCCTTCCCCTGTCCTCCCCCCAGTAGCTAGGGCATGGTGGCAAGTGGCTGAATTTACTTTATCGGCTTGTGGGAGGGGCAAGGAGTGAGGTGGCGTTGCTCAGCGCCCTCCCCAGCTAGGGACATGGCCCCATTTTGTGTAAGGAGAGTGGGCCGTTCGGTGCTGCTTCAGAACTACAACGGTACCCCTGTCAGAGCTGGGGAGTTCCCACACCCACACACCTGCCTTGGGATTCTTTGGGAAGTAATGCCCACCTGACATTCCCAACCCGTGTGCTTTATCTTTTCACCCTGCAGGTGCAGCGAGAAATCCCCAGCTCTGGCGTGTCTGCCGAGGTGATAACGCCCATGATGGCGCCTACCGTGAAGGTCTGTGACAGACCAGTCAAAGTGTCCTCACTGCCACCTGCTGCCACTGCCATCACCACCCAGGCCCCAGAAGGACAGGATGGGCCTCCCAGTCCCGTGAGCGAGGCCTCCAGTGGCTACTTCTCGCACAGTGTCTCCACTGCCACACTGTCTGATGCACTCGGCCCAGGCCTTGATACCATGGGCCCAGCCAGTGGCCACACGCCTGGCTCCCCATCTGTGCCCCTTTGTGCTGCCACCCCAGAGGCTGAGCTCCCACCCCTGCCCACTGCTCCCTGTGATCCCCAGTGGCACCTGGCTGCTGCAGGGCCCAACACTCAGCCCAGCACCGTAGCTGTGCTGGAGCCAGCAGCCGGGTTGGAGTCAACGAGACCCGAAGCCCAGGCCCAGACCGAGATAGTCCCCAGCTGTGAGCTCGAGGCCTCCAGACCTCAACTGCCTCCGGACCTCCCACCCCAGGCGCCCTCCTCTCCCTTCCGAATCCACAAGGTGCGGACCTCTGAGCTGAAGTCCTTCACCTGCATGCTTGGCAGCGACTCCGGGAGTTCCTCCAGGGCTGAGGAGGACATGCTGGCCATGGGAGTGCCCGGAGGCGTGGCACAGGCCCCGGCCCCGGCCAAGCCAGACATGGCCTCAGATTCTGAGGAAGCCAGTGAAGTCCCCGAGTGGCTCAAGGAGGGAGAATACGTTACAGTGGGCACCAACAAAATGGGTATCGTGCGCTACATTGGGCCAACCGACTTCCAGGAGGGCACGTGGATTGGCGTGGAACTTGACCTACCATCGGGTAAGTTCAGGACAGTCACCCAGCTGCCTTACCTGCTTTGGTGGGAGGTTACGCGCACCCTGGGTGGTGTGTCTTGGGCTTTTCGTGTGCTGGTTCTGAGCTTGTATTGCAGTTAGGATTTTCCTTGGGTAAGTACTTCCTTGCTTAACACCCAAATTGCTCAGACACCCGAGATTGTTATTGAAAGCTACTATCCATTTTAAGAATTAAGAGGGGCTTAACAAATAATGAAATCCATCCAACAAATATAAACTTGGCACTCACTGTGTTCCAGGCACTCTTGTAGGTTCTGGGAATATCTTAATGATTAAACCAAGTCCCCAAATGTTACTTACTTTACAGTGGAAAAATGACTAAGTAAACAGAAAAACGTTGAGAGTAGTAAGTGATATAAAGATAGCACAATGAGGCAGGCACAGACAGTGGTGGATGTGGAGGAGTCCTTAAACAACGTCCCGAGAAGCAAAGGTAGCAGTGACCAGGACAGGGTGGAGCTGGGCCGGGGTCTGGGTGGGCAGCCAGCCAGGCCCCAGCCACCTCAGGGGTCAGGTCCGAGGCTGGGCTGGGCTCTCAGGGCAGGTGCATGTGGTACTAGCAGGTGAAAGGCCATGAGATCATCCTGCTTCTTGTCTCCCCGTGGCCAGGATGTCATGTAATCCCTGCCCACCCAAGTCCCCTTCACTTCAGAGTATTTCCTGTTGGTGTCAGCATGGTGTCTGACTCTCCATCACGGACACTTTGGCTAGTTTACCTGGAGTAGTTTCCAGAAAAATAATCATTTCCCCAAGGCCACACCCAGCCTCAGTCTGCGTTTTGACCATTGGGATGGAGAATGGTCAGTGCCTCCAGGTGGGGAGCAGCAGGGGCCAGCTCTGCTTTGCTCTGCCCCTGGGCCTTAGCAGGTTTGTCCCCAGGGCCGGAGTGTTAAACACAATGTCACAGGATCAAGGGGCCGGCTCTTCCTGGTGACCACTGCTTGCCTTCCTGGGGGGACAATCACCCTGTGTGTGCTGGTCTCACTGGTGATCTGGTCCCGAGCTGTCTGTGCAGGGCTTAGAGTGGTGGCACGGAGGTAGCATTCTGGGGAATGTGGCACTTCAGGGAGGCAATGACACAGGACACATTGCCTTCTTCTTCCCCACAGGAAAGAATGATGGCTCCATTGGAGGGAAGCAGTACTTCAAGTGCAACCCTGGTTACGGTCTGCTGGTGAGGCCCAGCCGGGTCCGCAGGGTCCCGAGCACCGGGCGGCGGCGCAGTGTGGGACTGCGGTCACAGGGTGCCCCCGAGGCCCGCCGGAGTGCCACGCTTTCTGGCTCTGCCACCAACCTGGCCTTGCTGACGGCTGCCTTGGCCAAGGCTGACCGGAGTCACAAGAACCCCGAGAACCGGAAATCCTGGGCCAGCTGAGCCATGGCCACCCTGTGGACAGGAGCTGGGCAGCCAGTCCTGGAGCCCTGCCAGTGATGGCCCCCGGAAGGTGGGGCCGGCTGGTGCCGCAGGGCAGTGAAGGCTTTTTGCACATTTGGGGCTGGTGCTCCCTCCCCCAGCCTCCCTGGAATTCTCCACTCTCGTCCTCTTCCCTCTCTGCCTCGCTCTGCACTGCCCTGTACACCTCTTCAGGTACAGGTGGAAGGTTCTGGGAGTCCCAGGGGTTGTGAGATTGGGGTCAGGAACCCTAGGTGACCCATGGTCCCTACTGGGTTATCTCCCCACCTGCCTGTAATCTGGGGCTGTGATGGCTCGTTCCTGGTTTGTAGTCTGGTTACCCTGTTAGTGTCTTAATTTAAGCAATAATCCTAACCAGTGCCTTTCTGGCCCACACAGGACTTTCTCCTTCTGCCCAGGGGCCGATGCCTAGTCCACCACCTGGTGGCTGCCCTGTCCTTCATGCCCCACCACCTGACAGTGTCCCTGGAAGGGCCCTGGGGCCGGGCTGCGACCAGCGCCCACACTCCTGCCTGCTTCTGCAGTGTTCCTGTGGTCTCCCTGAGGGTGTGGTGGTGTCCTTACGCCTGCAGAGTCTGCTCTGTTTGCTGTTGCTTCCCCTTAACAGAATGCTTGGGACATATTTATTGATATTTATTTTTGCCCAATCGGAAATTATTCGCGATCCACAATCGCTGTGTGCCTGGGCATGACTGGCCCTTCTCCTTAGGGAGCTGCCAGCCCCCACCTCCCTTGGTGGAGGTTACTGGGGGCTGCCAGAGGCCCCTTCCTAAAGGGTCCTGTGGAGGTCCTTAGGGTGCCTCGCCTTGTGCTCTCCCAGCTGGGGTCACGGCCTGTGGGGAGCATTGTGCACCTCCAGGCAGAACCTCCATGCAGGCTTCTTGGCTGAGGGCCAGGGTCTGTGAGTGTGTGGGCAAATGAAGGGCAGGGCAGGAGGCAACCTCACCAGGGCCCTGTCGCTGGCTGTCCCTCAGCCCTGAGGTTGGGGCCTCAGGTCCCTGGGGCAGCCTGCTGCTAGAGCTTACCTCTGGTTCTCTTGGGACGTGGAGCCCCTTGGGGGGAAGCAGCACCCCTCAGCAGCATGGTGACTCAGAGCACTATGGCCCCTGCAACCTGCTAGGTTCAGTCATCCAACCTGGTACTCCGAAGGTGCTGGCCTGGAGCAGTCAAAGGACATTACAGCCCGTGGCAGGGGTTCCAGTTGGTCTCCCTGGCCTGGGAGGCAGACGCCTCTCTGGGGGTGCTGTCACAGCAGCCAGGTGGGAAGGTCCTGCCAAGGAGACCCCTGACTGCTGCTGGCTAGCCTCAGAACACCAGGGGAGGTACCTGCTTTTCCACTCCACCTCCTTCACAGTGCAGACGTGCTCCGGGATGTCTGAGGTGGGATTTTGCCAGTTTGCCCCGGTTGGTGCATCTGCTAGTGGGGGCTCCGCATCAGCCTCTTCCAGAGCAGTGTCAGCCACCCGGAGGCCCTCACTGGTCACGCATTCCTAGCCCGGGCATGGAGAGCAGTTTTAGAGCCACAAGCTTACGGCCCGCTTGTCACAGCTGCCCACAGCCACAAGGCCTTCAGTCTTCTGTTCTGGGGAGTCAGGTGGCAGTGGGAGCCCCCTGTTCCATTCACTTCGCTTGACAACAGCATGGGATACAATGCAGTTGTTGCACTGGACAGATGCTCAAGCTCCTAAGAGTGCTAGAAAAGCCTGGAACTCCTGTGTTGTTGGAAAAGGTCTCAGGAGTTGCCTCTTGCCCCAACCGTCACCTCTACTCCCCAAGCCCGAGGGAACCTTGCCCTTGCCACCAGGGCCTCTCTCCCCATCTCCATTGCCTTCCTCCACAGACCTGTGGTCTCCCTCTTCCCTGGGCACCAGGGACCCTGGTTGTTGCCTGCGGATTCCTGTTGCCTGCCCTGTGCTATGTAAGGCCCATCTACCTCCTTGCTGTGAACTCCTACCACATGCCACCCCCAGGCTTCTGTCCACCCTCTCCGGCAGACAGCACACAGCTGGAGCCTGGTAAAGGCAGGGCAGGGCCAGGCCTTGCAGGGCACAGCCACCCTGCATCCCTGCATGGCCTTGTGGGCTGAAATGAGGCAGCTGCTCCCAGGCTCCCTGCTGCTGCTTGCCTTTCCTTCCCGACTCTTGCTTTTTTGGTGTAGACTAACAGGGCACAGCAGTGACACTGTCACTGTTACCCACGGCCCCTCAGCCCCAGGACCCATCATTTCCTGGGGTAGTGTGTAAGGGATGATGGCCGGAGATGACGCCCGGGGGCGCCCAGTCAGCTAACTTCCTGTGTCACCACACTGAGCAGATGTTAGTGCAGAGTTCACACCCTTTCTAGCACTTCCCAGTTCTGGGAGATATTGGACAGCTCAGGCCTGGTCCTGGAGGTGTGGTCACTGCGGATCTGCCAGTGGGCACCACCTGCCAGGCCCTCTTGGGGCTTTTGTGTCCCACTGTGCATACTTGGGGCCTGGCGCCTCTTGCTGGCTCACAGGCCCTTACCAAGGACGAAGGCTGCAAGAGTGAACAGGCCATGGCTGCTCTTAGCTGATAGGAGCAGTGAAGGGCTGCTGGTGGGTGTGAGAGTAAAATGGCCTAGGGGGCTGGGGGAGCCATTTTCAGGCCCGCGGGTAGAGGTCTGTGTATGCTCAGTGAGAGAACTAGCCTATGAACATGAGCGCTCAGGAGGCAGAAAGGCTAGGAGGTGTTTGGATCCCTCTACTAAAATGTTTTTCTTCTCCAGGCTTAAAAGTCCTCTGTGCGTGAAGCAGATGAGAGGTTCCAGGGTATTTATTTTGGTTGCTAAGATTCACATTGCTTGTCAGGCCTGCCCATGTGCATGCGTGCAGAAGGGATCAGGACCCCACAGGGCCTGGCGGAGTGCCCGAGGAGTTGGTGGTGCCTTCCCTTCACACAGGACACCTCATGCAAATGTTCCTGAAAGCATCTTTCTCAGAGTGGTTCCCTGGTGCCATCCTGGTGACTGCAGACACTAAGTGTTGGGAGAGTCTTGGATCATCCTGTGAGTGTGCTTGTGTGTGCGTCTGTAAATATGATGAGTTCACATATTCAGAAGTGACAGACTTGGGGCTTCTATTGATTTGGTACACATCAAATGGGAGTTGAAAAAAATCCAAAGACTGTGATAAATTGTAAAGAAAGATTTGTATCATATATTGAACTAAATCAGTTAATTTTGTATCATATGTGCCCTTCCATCCAATGACCAACAGCTTCTAAATAAATCCAGATGATTTCTTGCCTACATCTGAGGTCAGTCTTGTTTCTCCCTGGTTCCTGGGCTTTTGGGGTCACTGCAGACTGTTACACAGTAATGGCATGGCCTTGTTCTCACGGTGACGGTGGTGGAGACTAAGCTGAGGGTGGAGAGAGGGAGGCCTGGGGCTGGGCAGCAGGCCAAAGGGTACTCGCCTCCCAGGTTTGCCCAAGAAGCACTTAGCCGTGCAGGATTTGGATTGAGAACCCAGAAGCAGGCCCTGCGGGTCCCTTGAGCACTGTTCTTTCCTTAAGATCATCTCAGCGCTTTGCAGAAGCCGGGGTCAGTTAAAACTTTCTGGGGCTCCCAGGCAGCATCATGGGAACTTCTGGGCTAGCCAAGGGAAGGTGGCCTAAGAAGGACCATCCCAGTTCAGGCATGGCCACACTGTACATACACATAGACCTGGGAGGAGGGCTGCCTCTCATTACAGCAAAGCTGGCGACAACTGTGGCAAATTTTGTAGCAAGGTGTTCTGGGAGGAGGATCTGGCTGGCTGGCAGGCAGGGTCTGGTCAGATCCCAGCAAACTGTGCAACTTGATGTTTGTGTTCCTGCAGGCTCTGGTTTCAACAAGGATTTGTCTTCTCATATGGTGCTTTACATCTCAAACTATTCTTAATGGTGTGCAGAGATGGAAACAATACAGCTGTGGTGAATGGAAGTGGGGGGCAGTGGGAGGGACCAGAGATAATTGGGGGTGTATTGCTGGAGGGCAGTTCTCAGAGGGTTGGTCATAAATGCCTGAGTTGGCAAAGCCATCTGTCTGCTTCCTGGCTGACATGTGATGCTTCCTTATGTTTTGCCATTGCCATTCTCTGGCCTCACTAGACTCACTCAGCCAATAGGACTACCTGATTTTGCATCGTGGTATTTAAAACCCACAAGGTAAGTCAACATTAGCCTGCCTTCCTAAGTAGTTTCTTTGAAGCATTTCGTTATAATGTGATAAAAGCCAGTAACATATTGGGCCCTGGTTACCAATGATGCTAACTCAGTACAGACCTCTTGTCATCTCTGTGCCCAGTGTGGATTTGGAACGGTACTATAGATTGTGGAGTCCGGTTCTGAGTTGGGGAAGAGGATCGGGCCTCCTCTGATAGGCTGCAGGATTGCAGTGCAGCCCCAGCAAAGGGGTGCAAGGCCGTTCCCACAGGATGCAGGCTCGGGCGTCATCCTCGGGAACCCATGCCTTGGTGCCTGACATGGAATATATTTGCAAATGTATGGCCACAGCCACAGGGAGGCCTGATCAGAGGTGGCCAGCAGTCAGAGCACATCTTAGCAGGACTTGTTTATATTCATAAGTGCAGAAGAATTGTTCTCTCAGATAAGCATTGCCAAATAATGACAGAAATTTGGCAGCCGGAAGCTGCCCTGCTCAGAATGAGGCAAGAATCTGAATGTAGAATTGATCTTGCTCTGAGGATAAATCTTATTTTTCAAGCTGGTGCTGTTCTTGCAACTCAATGAGATGCTGTTTTGTTGTTCAGACCCCAAAATGGGAGTTCAAGTCTGTCGACAAACGGTTTGTACCTGTCTTACATCTGGCCTTGTGGGACAGGCAGTCTAACAGCAACAAGCCATCTTGACGGGATCCACCTAGGGTGACCCTGGAGTGCTGGGAGACAGCAGGCTTTGTGATAACACCTGCAGATGCCTGGGGATGGGACTGAAGGCTTGAGGCCTCTGCTGCAGCAGAAATGGCAGTTTGGGGCCAATTCAGAGAACATTGCCCCTGCCACTCTATCCTCTCCTGCTCACTCACCCTCAGAAAACATCCAAAAGGTTGAGGAGCAAGTAGCTTAATATTTTGTAGTCATTTCTAACTAGGTACACTGATAAAGATTGTCCAGTTCAGTTTTCTCTGGGGAGGGGTCAGGTAATGAGCTGCAGTGAAAGGGTATCCAGGCACTTGGTGTTTGTGTCTTGTTTAGGAATATGATGCCAGCCCCTTTTGGACATTTGCTTTTAAGCCCCTGTATCCTCTTGATTCTAGATTCCTGCTCTTGTGTCCCTGGGAGGCAGTGGTGATGGTGTGGCAGTTGGGTCCCTGCCACCCAAGTGGGATACCTGGGTTGAGTTCCCACTTTGATCTCCAGCTGTTGGAGAGAACTTGGGAAGAGAACCAGTGAATGGGAGACCATTCTGAGTGTCTCAGAAACAATTTGATGCCAGTTCTTGGAAGCTTTTAAAGAAAATGAAGCAAAAAAGCTTCAACATTTTTTTTGTTTGTTTGTTTGTTTAAACTGCTGTAGGTGAAACTCCAGGAGAGAGGAGAGCTCTTTTAAGAAGTGAGGCTAAGGGTGTGGCATGCAGTACAGGTATGTGGAATTAGCTACTCAGCAGGCTAAATCATAAGGCTCTTTCTGTTCTGAATCGGCGGGGATGCTAGTGCTGCCAAGATCCTCATACTGTGGGGGATGCCAGATCTTCATGTGAGCATACTACAGGGGGAAGAGGGGAGGTATGTGAAGGAAGGCTGGGTGGGCTTTGCTGCAGCGAGGGAAGGTGTAGTCTGGAATGATACAGGCTGGAGGGCTGAGAGTGAATGGGTGCAAGGGTGTTCAACTCAGCATTCCACTCTTAATCAGGTCATGTTTAAGTCAGCATCATCTTTCATAAGATCCTCAGGTCTCTGGGCTCCCCAGCCCTTCTGAAAAGCACGCAGGGACTGATGCAGAAAGAATACTTCAAGGGTGAGGATTTGGGATGTCTGTGTTAACAAAGTGGGGTGCTTAGGCTCCAGCCCTGGCTGTTTCTGACTATGGCTTCCTGCGGATTCATACCCTGGGAGTCAGCAGGTTATCCAAGTGTCTGGATTCCTGCCACTCTCCTGGGAAACCTGGCCTGAGCTCTTGGTGTCAGCTGGCCCAGCCCTGGCTCTTGGTGCTTCAGGAAAGTGAACCAGTAGACAGAAGATCTAAAAAATTCAAGCAAAAACCAAACTGCTGCCTTCCGTGCCTTTGTTGGAGTTAGGCATCTGTAAGTGACTGTTGTGATCCAAAGCAATCCCAGTCAGTCTTTGTTCAGTTATACATTTTATTCTCTAATAGGTACAATACTAAAATAAACACAAATTAAAAAAAAGTTTTATTAAAACAAAACTGTACAAAAAAGCAGTATACTACATTTTTAATTACAGAACAGTCTACTGTCCAAAAGGCACTAATCCAGAATAGGAGATACAATGATACAGGACTCATTGGAACTATTTGAATCAGTACAATATAGAGCACTTGTTTCTTTGACCACTTACATCTAGAAACAAGAGCTTTTTGCTACAGTCATTACACATTGTTATAAATATGAGTCCTACAGGTGAAGGTGCAGTATCCCTCTCCCTAGAAAAGGTTCACACCAAGAGGGACCATTAAGGGGCTGAGAGGTGGATGGGCAGCACTTGGGCAAGGCAGTTGACCGTGGGCCACCTGGAGCTCGTCTTTCAACCTGGCCTCTGATGGTTGGGTTCAGCCATTACTGGCAGCCATTTAACCCCCTCATGTGTTTTAGCACCGGCAAAGTGGGTTCTGAGATGCTCCAAGCAGCTGGGGCTGGAGGTCTGGGTGAGGAAGCTTGGCAGCTCAGCAGGGGAGAGGCATTTTGGTAACCTGATCTGGAGAAAATAAAAAAGGCAGCAACTATTCTGAAGTGGAAGCCAGAGCCCTGGACACTACAACCAGGTAGATCCACTTCCTGTTTTCTGGGAAAACTTCTGACCTAGAAATAAGAGGGGTCTTATTCCTAAACTCAGAGCTATAGATTCCCTGCTTCCCTCCAGGGAACCCAAGTGGAGAGTGCATTTGAGGGATCAGGTAATCTTGTTGTGGAGGTTGCTTTCTGGAAGTGAGGTTTTTGCTGCCCAGAGGTGAGAAAGATAGAGAGACAACTGGGCTGGAACAGGTGGTTTTCCTTCCCTGGGTTCCAGCTCAGAACCATGAGCCACTCCAGGGTGCCGCCATGTGGCATTCCAAGAGCTGAGCCTCTGGTCACTTGCCCATGTCGGGTGGACGAGCTAACTCTCTAGAACCCAGGTTCACTCTTTAATGGCCTCTGGACCTGAGGAAGAGAGATACTGCAGCTTTCCAAACAGTGTCATACACATGTAAGACGAAGACAGGCATCTGATGTTAACAAAAATAAGTAACAAAGAAATAGGATTAAACCAAATCTCTTCTCACAGCATCCTATACTACATCCTCCTTCTGCTTAGCAGAAAATTGTACGTACACAAAAATACAAATACACCATTTTGTAGAACAGTCTGATTTTAATATACTTATATATATTTATATTTATACGAGTGGCAGGTTAGTCCATTATATAGAGCTTTTTGCACTTTTGGCTCATATGCAACAAGGCTTATAAATTCAGCTTTAGCTTTCATTCAGGTTTTTATAGCTTTTGAACAATTGTTTTCACATTTAAAGCAGCATCCAATTTGCACTAGGAGTTTGTGGTGATCGTAGGAAAGATGGGGTCAGGAGGTTACTGAGGGGTGGGGCAGAGGAAGATCTACATTCCAGTGTGTGTGGCAATGTAAGAAGGATTCCATGTGGACAGAGTTCACCATGATGACCCCTTGAGGTAGACCAAACACCTTACAGCAGACTCAGACAGAGGTGTGACTCACCCTCAGGGACACATGGTGCACAATATGGGGACAGACCAGAGGAGACGCCAAAGGAAAAGACGGAGACTGAGACACACAGTGACCGAGACAGGGAGGGGGCTTCTGCCCCACCCCCCTCTTCCCCCAATCTGGCAGGGATCCCGCACAGCCCATTTTAGCCTTTTGGTGGATGCTAAATACTTCTAGGCAATCCCCAGGCATGTGGTCCATGTACCTGATCAAATCACGACTGTTAAACATGCTTCGTAACTTGCTGCGCCAGCTTGTTCCCACGCCTACAATGAACAGTAAAACAAAGCTGCACATCGTTTGGAAATGGAACTCACTCCCCAGCACTCTGCTCTTGCTAGAGTGTTCAAGTCC